CCTAGAGCATGCATAAATTGTTACCTTACCCCCTTTCAGAATCAAAAACCCCAATATTCTTATTGTGAGCCCTAATTCCCAAATTATTATCTCCTATTAGGCTGATCAAGTATAACAGAAATAATATCAATACGCACAGAGTAAAAATAAAATATATTAAAATAAATGAGCGAAAATAATCAATCCATCGCAAAAAGGGCTCACATAGGGTTGGTGACCCTAACTACAATAAAAGAAATTAGCCAGCCATAGACATAGCTGACATAAAATTATAAAATAGAATTCAAAATAAAATTACTAGGAGGAACGGAGAATGATCCTCTGCTCTTCCCTTCCTCACGAATCCTTGTTCTGCTCTGTCGTCAAAAAGTCCCTCCTAAAGAACCCTCGCAGCGTCCTTTTAAGTTCGAAATTGCCTCCACGCTGAAGTCCGCGCGGGTAGCGCCATTCTGGCGCGGGTCTAGCGCCACTTTTTTGCACTGGGTCGATTTCTCGCGCGGGTAGCGCCATTCTGGCGCGGGTCTCGCGCCCAATCCCTGGTCTCTGTATTTTTCCAGCGCTGTAACAGCGCCAAAGTGGCGCGGGTAGCGCCACTTTCCTTTTTCAATTTTTCTCAATTTTCCTATTTCTTCTTGCTTTAACATGCAAAAATGATATAAAAGATGAAAAATAAACTGAAATAGGAAAACTAACTAATAAAAGTAATTAATATACAAGAAATGCTCTTTTAGGACTGATTTCTTATTATTTTTGGCTTGGAAAACATCACATGCCAGAGGCAGATCACTCCCCCCAAGGCTCCACTAATTACATTACAATCAAACTCCACTTCTGGGAATTTGTCATAGTTGGGATCATTTTTCTGATTCCTATCCTGTTTGTTCTTATTTTCAGGAACAAGACTTTTGCTCCGATTTCTGTTTCCCAACTTCCTTTTGTTGTTTCTGGAACCTTGGGTTTTTATCACGTATTGACGTAGCCTTCCATCTCGAACAAACTTCTCCACCGCATCTCGGAGATCCCAGCATTGATCAGTAGTATGCCCCGGTCCGTCATGGAATGCACAGTACTTTGATTTGTCCAAACCTCCTCTGTCGAATATGGGCCGGGGTCGTTCCACCTTCTTCATCTCCATGAGTGCCACTTCCCTCCAGATTTGCGAGCGCGACGCATTCAAAGGTGTATACTTGTCATATCTCCCAACTCGATCCCTCATGTCCGGTATTCGGGGGCGTTGATCTTTCTTCTTACTGTCAACTCGTTCTTTCCCCTTTTGAGGTGGGCTCCTTCTTCTTGGGCTTAACCTTTTGCCCTCATCGGATTACGCATTTGCAATCTCCATTTGCTCTAGTTCGAGATATTTCTTCGAACGAGTTCTGAATTCCTCCAACGTCTTTACTAGGTCTTTATAGACCGACTTGGCTAGTCTGGATGCACCATCCAAACCCGCCACAATAAGGTGAACATGGACATTCTCTTGCAGCCCTGGGACCTGCAATGCAGCATCCTTGAACCGATTAAGATATTTCTGGAGGGTTTCTTCGGGTTGCTGTCGTATCTTTCCGAGAGCGAACTCGGACTTCGGATGCTTTTTGCTAGTTGCAAAGTTTAAGAGGAACTTCTGTCCGAATTCTTCTAATGACCCAATGGAATTAGCAGGAAGGGTTGAAAACCATGCCTGTGCTGCTCCAGTCAGTGTTATGGCAAATATCCGGGATATGAGAGGTTCATCAATTCCTCGGATGTACATATCTGTGTCGAAAGCATCTATATGGACCTGCGGATCCTGGCTCCCATCGTACTTTGGCAGACGTGCCGAGTCAAAATCCTCCAGGAAGACAACATTTAATATTTCGCCAGTAAAAGGGTTGTTATTATACTGCCCCCTGCTATACTTCCTTCTATACGCGCCGGGTTCTACTCGGCCCCGAATGTTTTGAACGTTCTGGTCAGGGTGAATCAGAACCCGGTCACCCTGGCCGTTAGCTTGCTCCACATGATTTTAGGCATTTTGGCCATCTACGACCTGGTTTCCCTGATCCGGGTTTGCAGCGTTCACGGGGTTGGTCCTTTTATGACTTTCTACACAGGGAACCCGGTTATGTAAAACTAGGTTCCGAGTTCCTTCTCGGCCATCAGCAGGTTGGCCTCTAACTTCTGTTGCTCCTGGTCCCGTCAACTGTGTTAAGCGCTGCTCCAGGTCTCGCATTCTCCTGTTATTTTCATCCTGTATTGCCCGAAAATCCTGCTGCCTTTGCAGGTTACTACGAGTTTCCAGTTTTGCGATTCGTTCCATGATCGCAGCGAATGCATTATTAGCCAATCGAGTATCCGGGTCGGCCGATTGAGCGATACGCGCAGCAAGATCCCCTGGATGCTGGGAAGGATTATTTCCAATTGGAGCCATGTTCGCCGCGGCCCCCCTATCTCGACGCACTGGAGTAGACGCAGTGTTTGAGATGTCGTCCTTAACCTCGACATCATCATAATCCACGTTGTTTCCAATCTGGTTTTGAGGTTGATTTACCTCCTCTAGGACTGGATCCAACGGTTGGTTCTGATTTTGGGGTTGTTGCTGGCTACTGCTCCTTTTCTGGATTGCCATCCTTTGTCAGATTGATGGGAACTTCAAACTCGCAGACAAAAGTTTCCCACAGACGGCGCCAATGTTCTGTCCTTGAGACAGAGATGTCTAGCCCAATAGGCTAGTATGTTGATGTTGGATCTAGTGCCATCTCCAAGGTATCGATGAAGGTGATACCCTTGAGTCAAGCAGATCACTGTGAACAGAATATTATAACGGCGTTAGCCAATGGGGTGTGTGTGTGCGCACAGTGACAGCATAACAGTAAGAGATAGAGTGTACGTACCTTTAGGGTTTACCTGTGTATTTATAGAGGTTACCTGTGGGTAGTGTGGATGGGCCTTTGGTTCCTCTGATGAGGGTCCAGGCCTGATAGCTATGTTGTAGTATTAGGATTAGTATCCTTATTGGATATCTATCCTTTATTGGTATCAATCCATATTTTGGATTGCCTCTTGTTGGGCTTGCTACTTAATGAGCTCATTATACGGGTCCATAACAGAACTAAAGAGTTAAGAGAATGTTCTCAATCTTTATTTAAAAGGGTTAATTAAACCATAAGATCGAGTTCGTTAATCTCACAACAATTATCAAAATCACTTAAGTGTGATAGTTCGGGATTTCAAATTTTTCCTAATTAAAAAAATATTATTAAAAATGAGTATACTCCTAGAGAAGATTAACTTAACTGTGACAATTTGTTAATTTTGTGGCATCCATTTCAAATCGTATTATCTGCGACTGCTTGACGATTCCAAATTTTAAATTGAATTAAACTAGCTTTTCTAAAATCATATTTTTTAGACATCTCTTTTAAGCTAAGATAGCTTGTTAGCCTGAATGCATTTTATTAAGGGACATTTGGGTTGCGACAGCTTGGTGATCTTAAACTTGCATATTTACATTACATTAAAATTTTATCAACAACTAAATCGCTTTAATTAAAGAAGTGATTAATTGAGTTATGACATCTTATTAATCTCATTGCTCTATTTCAATTTATTTGAGCTGCGATAGCTTGATATCTCAAAATTTAATCAAATGTGTTTTTCAAAATCATATCTTTACAAAATATTAATCAAATACTTTTCAAAACATTGTTATATAAAGAGTAAATATCATTTTCGGTCCTCAGTAAATTTCACGATGCCGGCTTTAGTCCCTAGCAAATAAATAGGCTATTCGTGGTCCCTCACAAATTCAAAAAAGATTCACATTAGTCTCTCAAAACGACTAAAATGAGTTCATTTTGAATTTCTTAAGGATCACGATTTCAACTAAATGGGTCCATTTTGAATTTTTTAGGGACTAAGAATAGCCTTTTATTTGCTAGGGACTAAAGCGTGAATCGCGAAATTTGCTGAGGACCAAAAATGATATTTACTCTTATATAAATATAAAGGGATAAGTTATTCTATCTATCATTTTTTTTCCTACCACTCTCCAAAATTATTAGATCAGAATCTCAATAGGAAAGAGAAATGATAAATGTAGTTAAGATTTTGATTTAACGGTGTTGAAGAATGATAGGCAGAGATAAACCAAAAAAATAGTAGGTAGAATAACCTATTCTAAATATAAATTAACCAACTCAAACTATTTTCCAATATTGACGTACTTTTGAATTTCCTTTTGCAATACGTCGGAGCGGATCAAGCTAAAATTAAAATTTTTACAATGTAGTTTTCATTCCATTTATTTAATTTCACTTTTGGGGATTAACAAATAATTTTGAAAGTTTAATAATGATTTGCATAATTAACTTTGTAACCATTTTCTAAATGGATATATCACGGGTAGAGTGAGATTATGTTTCCGCCCTGTACATAATTAGAGACTCCTGAATTTGGATCTCAAATCTAAAAGATCAATTTTCAAAAAGATTTTTCAACTTTTCCTAATATAAAATAAAATTGATTGTGATTCCCTTATTTAGATTTTTTTGCATATTCGATAGTCGTTAGATCACGATTTCGGTCGTGACAATGAGAAACATTACAACCTTTATTTTATGATCGAAATAATTCTTTCTAGACATTTATTTTTGAAATGTTTATATTATTACAACTCATCATCTATTTATCTGGTGATCAGTTTATATTCATCAAGTTAGATGAGTTGGTTCATTAAGTTAGTTTCTTACCGTTGTGTTAGTTCCCTAATTTACGGTAAAGTAGTTACGTTATAGTTGTTACATAGCTGTTGTATAAATAGTGACTTGAACGTGTAGTTAATCAGTTTTTCAGTTTCTAATCTTTCTTCAATAAGATGAATACAGTTTTCTCTCTTCCGAGTTCTTTGGATTCTGATATGGTATCAGAGCTCTAGGAGCTCTGGTATCGCGTTCTTGCTGTTTCGTTTTGATCATTAGCGTTCTTACTGCTTCATCTTTGATCTTCAATCAGCAGATTCTTCAATGGCGAACCAAGCTCCTCTTCCGGATCATCTTACGAATCCTTCGAACTCTTTATATCTTCATGCAAATGAGAATCCAGCGCTGGTTCTTGTTACACCGCTTCTTAATAACAAGAACTACCACACGTGGCTTCGGGCTATGAAGATGGCGCTCCGTTCCAAGAATAAACTTACCTTTGTGGATGGTACTTTCACCATTCCAGCAACAACATATCCTACGTACCAGGCATGGGATCGTTGCAACACGATGGTCTTATCGTGGATTCATCACTCCATTGAACCCTCCATTGCCAAATCCATTCTTTGGATCGAAAAGGCACAAGATGCTTGGAAAGATCTCCAAGAACGGTTCTCACAAACAGATGTGTTTAGAATTGCGGATTTGCAAGAAGAAATCCAGCGTCTTCATCAAGGAGAATCATCAGTAGGTGATTTCTTTACTCAACTTAAAACTCTCTGGGATGAACTTGACAACTTACAGCCATTGCCAAATTGTGTCTGTAGTGCTTCGGACAAGTTGAAGAAATGCCGAGAGCGTGATCAAGTCATCCGTTTCCTGAAAGGTCTTAATGACCAGTACTCACATGTTCGTTCGCAAATAATGCTGATCGAACCTCTCCCTATCATGAACAAGGCTTTCTCGCTTGTTACACAACAAGAACGACAGATGAACACTGAGTTATTGACTGAAAATATATCAAGTTCACGAGTCTATGCAGCTGAGCATCAGCGTGGAACTTATGTGCCTGATCATCAACGTGGACGTGGTAATTTCTATAACAGAGGAAGGAATGGCAGAGGACGTGGAACCAAATTGTGCACTCATTGTGGTCGCACCAATCACACAGTGGAGACATGTTATGCCAAACATGGATATCCACCAGGATTCAAAGTCAGGGGAAGGACTGTATCAGCCAACGCAGCCTTTCTTGACTTAATTGAAGATGCTGATGGCACCAAGGATACTGATAAAGTTTCTATCACTCAACAAGAATATCAAAATTTTCTTGATCTAATGACTCAAAGCAAAACTGATCATGCAGGTGATGCAAGTTCTCACACTGCAAATTTTGCTCAAGTCCAGCATGCTCAAGTTCAGCATGGATCTGCTTTCAATGTGAATTCTGGTAAGGTCCTCACTCAATGGATTCTTGATACGGGGGCGACAGATCATATATGTTCAATGTCCTCATTATTCTCTCATTTTAACAAGATTATTGATCCTATTGCAATCACACTACCTAACAATCAGAAAGTGATTGCCAAATACTCTGGGACAGTGGTTTTATCTGAATTTTTACAACTCGATAATGTGCTTTACGTTCCTGAATTTCAAGTGAATTTAATTTCAGTTGGGACACAAAGAGCCCATTGTGGAGCCTAGCAGAACCAATCACTTGGCCTGTCGATATCTGCTTAATGGAACAAGCATAATCACAAAATGTGGTCTTCTATGAAAATTCTTTTCCTTTCATTGAAAATTCATTAATCCCTTCTGCTGACATTGCTGTTCCACCTAATACATCTTCTCATACATTTGATGATTTATCTCCATCACACTCTTCTCCTATTATACCTGAACCTATACATACTTCTCCTATTCATGATCATCACACACAGCATACACCTGATACTATACCTGAACCTATACATGCTTCTCCTATTCATGATCATCACATACCCGAACCAATAAACATTCCTACTCGACGTTCTACACGCCAGAAACACACTCCTTCTTACTTGCAAGATTTTCAATGCAATCTAACTTCTAAAACTCCTTATCCTATATCCTCTGTCATTTCATATGCATCATGTGCTGCACATCACCCCTCTTTCTGTCTTACCCTTAATTCCATACAGGAACCAACTACATATCATGAGGCATCCAAACTCGAGTGTTGGCAGAAGGCAATGACAACAGAACTTGATGCTCTTGCACTCAACCATACATGGAGTTACACTGATTTACCACACGGCAAACATCCAATAGGTTGCAAGTGGGTTTTTAAAACCAAACTCAGAGCTGATGGAACCATCGAGAGGCATAAAGCAAGGTTGGTTGCAAAGGGTTATACGCAGCTCGAAGGAGTTGATTTCCTTGACACTTTTTCCCCAGTTGCAAAGGTCACCACCATTCAAATTCTGCTTAGTATTGCCACTGCCAGAAACTGGCACATGGAACAGCTCGATGTGAACAATGCGTTCTTGCATGGTGAACTCAATGAAGAGGTGTACATGCTGCCACCTCCAGGAGCAATACTGCCTCGTCCAAATGTTGTCTGCAAACTGCAGCGATCACTCTATGGCTTAAAACAAGCCAGTAGGCAGTGGTATGCCCGTCTCAGCTCATTTCTCAAATCTATTGGATATAAGCAATCACATGCTGATCATTCTCTTCTCATTAAGTCTGAGGGAGACTCATTCACAGCATTACTAATCTATGTTGATGATATAGTAGTTGCTGGAAATGATAAAACAGAAATCGATTCGGTCAAGCGCTCCCTTGATTCTGAGTTCAAGATCAAGGATCTAGGCAACTTGCATTACTTTCTGGGTTTAGAAATCTTGCGTTCTGATGAAGGTCTGTTGATAAGTCAGCGCAAGTATGCTCTTGAATTAATTTCTGATGGAGGTGTGTTGGGGGCCAAACCTTGCTCTACTCCCTTAGAACCTGGTCTCAAATTGGAGCAAGATGCAGGACATCCTTATGAAGATGTAGCAAGTTATCGTCGACTTATTGGGAGGCTACTCTACCTAACCACCACTCGACCAGACATATGCCATGTTGTACAGCAGTTGAGCCAATTTATCTCCAAGCCTACTGATATTCACATGAATGCCGCTTTACATGTTTTACGGTATTTGAAAAATGCTCCTAGCAATGGACTCTTTTATCCAGCAGCTAATGAGTTACAACCTAGTGGATTTGCAGACTCTGATTGGGCTGCATGTGCAGATACCAGGCGGTCGATTACTGGATTATGTGTGTTCATGGGATCAGCTTTAGTCAGTTGGAAGTCAAAGAAGCAAGGAATTGTTTCCCGTTCTTCTTCAGAGGCGGAATATAGAGCCTTGGCTGCTCTTACTTGTGAGATTCAATGGATTCGGTATTTGTTACAGGATCTCCAAGTTCCATTTCACAAGGCAGTTCCAATTTATTGTGATAATCGATCAGCAATCTATTTGGCTCATAATTCTGCCTTCCATGAGAGAACCAAACACATTGAGATTGACTGTCATTTGATACGAGAAAAGATTATTGATGGTCTTGTTCATCTTCTTCCTATTGCTTCAGGCGATCAACTGGCAGACCCATTCACTAAAAGCTTATCAGCAGGCCCTTTCAAGTCTCTCGTTGGCAAGTTGGGTTTGCGCAATACTCACCCTCCAACTTGAGGGGGGGTATTACAACTCATCATCTATTTATCTGGTGATCAGTTTATATTCATCAAGTTAGATGAGTTTGTTCATTATGTTAGTTTCTTACCGTTGTGTTAGTTCCCTAATTTACGGTAAAGTAGTTACGTTATAGTTGTTACATAGCTGTTGTATAAATAGTGACTTGAACGTGTAGTTAATCAGTTTTTCAGTTTCTAATCTTTCTTCAATAAGATGAATACAGTTTTCTCTCTTCCGAGTTCTTTGGATTCTGATATATATCATGGTAAAATTAACTGGTACTGATTTGAAATTAGAGTCTTCTTAATTATTATTAATGGGTAGTTATGTTTATAGCTTCTTTTTTCTTATAATTATTAAATAATATTCAATAAATTTCTTAATTTAACAGTTATAATATAATTGAATGAGATAATGAAAAAATTATAAATATAATTTACCTCTAATTATTATACATTTGTTAGTTACATAAAAAGTATTAATTCCATACAATATTTTTTTCATATAGCTTCTTTATATTTTATATATTTTTCATATTATATAAGATAAAGTTATTTCATGCACCGATAAAAAAAGGGTAACATTTATTTTTTATTTTTTTTCTCTTATTTTTAATGAGTCCCACTCATTTTTTTGGTGCATATTCCCCTTAATTTTATATACTTTTAGTTTTTTAAACATATTAGAATATATATATATTTTATTTCATTACAAAAAATAATTTAATAAAAATAATTATATTATTATGGGCATGTTTCTAATATTGATCAAGTTAGAAAAAAATTATGTTTGCATAGATATTCCTGTTTATAGAAACGCTTCATAAGAGCCATGAGTGATGTTGATGAAAAGGGTAACGATTTTTAATTTAATTTTTATAAAATATAAGTGAAAATTTATATTGTTCTTTAATAATATATTTCAAGATAAAATTATTTCTGTTTACCATCTTTTGTAAACTTTTTTTTACTGTTCAATTACAATCAAATTAAAAATTATAAAATGACATCGAATAAACGTTATTGATTTAATTTTAATATAAAAATAAAAAACGGTTGTAAAATATTATAAGAAAAAGTAATTTGTAAATATAATCTTTCTCATATTATTGCATTATTTAATAAATATAATTACATAACGTTAATAAAATTTAAATAATATAATAATAAACTATTAAATCATATTATATTTGTATAATAAATACATTAAAATTAAACACGTATTATTCCACTTAACAAATGAAAACAGGTGGTAGATCTGGAAAAAGAAATAATATTATTAAAAAAAGAAAAAAAGAACTTAGATAAAATACCGAGAAGTTTGAAACTAATTTTATTTTATATTTTTCATATAACCTTTAATGATAATGTTATAAAATTATGATGAGAATAGATTCTCTCTCTCATGTAACGTGACATAATGCGAGAACATATTAGCCATTAGAAAAATAAAGTAATAATTATTTTTTTATCTTAATATATTCTTCTATTATAATGTGAAATAATAAAAGAAAAAATTAGTTATTAAAAATATAATTACTAATTTTTTTGCAATGCATTACTAATTATTTTTTATCTTAATATATTCGTCTATTATAATTAAATAGAAATTGTACACGATATGGGCAGCTAAATAATATATTGTTTGCTTACCCAAAAAAATAAACAAAAAATAATATATTGTTTCAACGTTTAACTATTTAATTTTTATACGGTTCAGTATATTTTAAATTTCATATAATATTTAATTTATTCAATATTTTTCAAAAAGTAAATGGTAGCTTATATAACTTTTGATACAATAAAGGTGAAAACATTTAGAAAAATGGAGAAACGGTTTATTATTTCTCGTTATATAACAGATAAATTTATCTTTTGTACACATATAAAATATGTACAACCTGTACACATATAAAAATATATAGAATCCATATAAATCCATTTGACAATAATAGAAAGAAAAAAAAATATGAACCACATATACTTTTGAGGTATGATATTTTTACTATAAAAAATTCCTACTACTAATTTACTACCAATTAATATAATTATGTATGTTTAGCAAAAAATAAAAATAAATTTTGTACTACCAATAATACATCAAAAGTTTTTTTTTCTCTTCATGAATTTTTCAAAGATTGTCTGTTAAAAAGTGGAATCCAATAGTTGAAAAATGATAATAAATTGATAATAGAAATATTTGATACTAAAAGATCCTACTTCTATATTTTTTATATATATAAGAGATAAAATTTATTTCATGTATGAAAAAGAACATTAATCAAAAGAAGAAATAAATAAGTTTATAAAACTAAATTGTTGTTATCATGATTTATAGATAGTCAAGGAACATGTGTCTGAACTGCAAAGACGTCTCTGTCAGGATTAAACATTTCGTGTCTAGAGAAGGAGATGTAAGAGTAGTGAAGCGGGTTTGATTGGACAATCGACACACTCGAGATCTGCAACTGCAACTATTACCACTCTGTCATTCACTCATTCTTCTTTAGGATTTATGCGGCGTCAGTGTGAATGGGAGAATGGATAAAAAAAATAAAAAAATAATAATTCTGTTTTGTTAATGTTTACTAATATCTAAAAATTTAAATAAAAACTCAAATTGGTAACAGATTCTCCTTAATTACAATTACTTTAATTTATAAAGAAATAATAATTGAAATACTACTTCACAATTTAACCAATTTATCTAGCTAATCCTGATGATAAGTGAAGCAAAGTTTATGCGGTTAATAAATTTCATAATATTTATTAAAAAAATAAGATAAGGATGGAATTTTATACCACAAGAATCAATCATCTCAAAAGTTTAAATGATTAAATAAAAAAAACATATAAGTAATTTTATAATATATTTTCAACACTCTACGACAAATAGTAAATGTGATAATACGAATAACTCAATCTGACTTGCCCATCGTCAATTCATTATAACATAGGTTAATCTATCTCGTTTTGTTTTGTAAAG